AAAAAAAATAGAGCAGTGAAGTAGCGGCATACTTGACTTGAGCTCCCGGTATTGGTGCTTTGCAAGGCCTTCCATGCTCGCTGTCGCCTCTTCTTCTCTGCTTCAACCTCCTTACGCTTATCGACGAGCTCCGATGCTCTCAGCTCCGCAGCTGCACGGATGACTCTCGTCGTGACTCTTGTTTTGGCAAACTCGTTCTGCTGTTCCTCTTCGAACTCTGAGCGTGACAATCTGGGAAACTGGAGCTTAGACTGCTTTGTTTCGTAGGTCTTGCTTCTGTAGCTGTATTTTTCGTCAGATCAGATCCTAGAGAGTCAGATAAATCGAGATGCACGCACACAGGACGGTCTACGATGCAGGTGTCTTCCTCAGGCTCTTCGTCGTCCGAATCTGTGTCCATCGTGAGGTCGATTGGCTCTGCATCACTAAAAACATAGTGTGAGTGTGAGTTAGTCTCAATCAAATATGGAAATTCAACGGAGATGTCTTACATGTCAATCCCAGTTTCAGGGACAACAGAGTTCCTGATATTAGAGTTAGACTTGGAATAGAGAAGGGAAACCAAGGGAGGTTGACGAACCGATCAGCAGTACCAGTAGTGTCAGAGCTAGAAAGCATACTCCAGTAAGCTATGTGTTGATAAGAAGCATAATAGTAAGAACATCAGCAAGACCGCATTTGGCTAAATCTAACTATTTCGGTCTATTCGGTCTCCCGGGAGACACAAATAGATCATTTGATGTCATCTATTCGCCTTAGACCTGCCTTCTGGGAGGCACGAAATAGAGCGCGATAGACTGAGATAGATCCCTTGATTTCTCTCGTAGAGCATTGAATAGAGCACATTAGCCTACACCCTTATCAACCAGTTTGGATGGTAAAAAATTATTTATTGCTGAGATAAACCGGGTGCCAAGTGTACTATACATCAAGCCAGACTCGTACATAGCGAAAAAGAAGAACAAGCTATCGGGGCGTTGAAACACGGCCCACCTCGATCACCCAGTAAGCACATTTCCTACTTTTACCTGGTTACTGCAAGTTCGAGAACACGGAAGACTTGGAGTCAGTTACTTACATGGCCATTCACCCGTCAGCCTCACCGTTACACCACGTCGCTATTGATGGACCTCGAAGTCGATGTAGGTGGAAAGTGCCGTGGTTGGTTAAAAATGAGATGGGCGGAAAGAACTGGAAAAAATATGTAAGACAAGGGGTCGTCATTCTGTCTGGGTGATGCACGCACTTGATCACCTCCTCGCTACATCTTCGGCCGGTGTCGTGGGTGACGTTGTGCGCAGGTGCTTTGGGGATAGGGGGGTCAGGGGCAGAGATTGCAGTCGAGGAGGGGTGAAAGGCGTACCGTATATCAAGGCGAGGACGGAAACGCTGGACGAGAAATGAGATCGTGTTAGCAACGGTGAGGGCGATGCACGAGGTAGGTGAGTTACCGTTGGCACAAATACGCTGGCGCACGGGCGAGGGAGACTTGACAGATGACGTCTATGTCGAAACATAATGGGTTAGTTAGTACCTAAAATCATAATGCTTGCCTGGTACGAGCACGTTCAGGGACGGGAATGTACCTACTTGTCGTTGCTCAGTGGGGCCGGAAGCGGTAATGATGCTGGAAGCCCAAAATCGTTGAGGCATGTTGTGATGACGGCTGTTCATGGACAGCATAGACACCTGCATACTAGCTCCTCTCAGAGAAATCAAATCAAAGGTATGAGTGGGCGACAACATACCTGCATCCCCATACGCGCAAATCACCGAGTCTGACCTGTGCCAAAAGATACCTCCAGCAAGTAAGTATTTGTAAGTCTGAGAGCGGGGAAAGAAACCTACACATCGCATGAAGGGCTCGGAGGAAACCAATCGAGAGCATCACACCGAGAGGTAGCATGTATCGAATGCCAGGAGACCGCGAGGCAGGCCGAATCGTGCAAAGCCAGGGGCAGGTGACTACTAGCACCGACGTACTCCTGGACGCGAAATGTGAGAAAGTCGTGCAGTGTTCAAAGTCGAAGGGTAAAGGAACGAGATGAGAGAAGAGAGAAAGTGGACGAGCTCAGGGTGCCAGGCGCCTGCCTTCGTCAAAGAGGATCAACGGGATCACGTGTTGGTTTAGGGCGGGCGCGGCGGAAGTAGCGGGGATGTAAACGACTCTGATCAGGCTCGTCCTGACTCGTCCCTCCCGTTGCTTCCACCGATCTCCATATTATCTTCGAGTTCAACCTTCCGCTGCATGTTCGCCATTACACTGACAACATCAAGCCTTTCGACGTCGTTTACCCATCAGCTCTGAATATCGGCACCTTCTCCTGCCACCTACGAAATTCAGCCTTGGCGACACACATGTCGTTCTTGCAAGCGTGAGGACGATGGGACGATTGTCGATGAGGAAGCATTGCTTGACTGGTATAGGGACGCGTGCGGCGTAACGGGTTGGCTGTGAGTTTCACTGAGTTTCGCCGGTACGTCTTCTCACCGCCGTCGTGCTATACTCTGCACCCGAGTCAGCGCTCTCCCACCGGAATTGTTGCGCGAACATTCACGCACTAGTCATCGTGTATATGATATCACTCTATCCAGGTATTTGGTGGTAGGTATACTCTGAGCTCTAACTAGTCGAAGTGTAGGGAGCGTCGGCGAGGCTTACATCTGTTACTAACTCCCCTCTCGTGTTCTTTCTATGTTCATGTACTGTGTGGTGTCTATTTTGTAGTCCTTGTAAATTAGAAGTGTAGAGGGCTACATATGTATGTGTAGCCCACCCATTCTCCATGAACAAAATGATTCTCGTGGAGGCGAGGTGATCCTTTTGCTCTACCCTGCTCTACCAGAGCTATCGAAGTACGAAGTATCTATAGCGCCCACCGGGAATAGAGCGAAAAGAAGGTGTAGCTCGGAATAGAGCGAAAAGCTAGGTTTAGGCAGATGCTGTCTTGCTGATGAAGACGTACGAGGATCTATTGAAAGCATTGCGAGCCGCATCGAGTAAAGCGTTTAGCCAAAGGTTCACGATGCCGATGTCCTCAGCGACGGGAATAACACGCTGAAGAGTGTCGAGGGTGCTGTCAAGCTTCCCACCGCACTCAGAAATAACGAGACCATTCCTTTTGAGACCCCAACAGTTCGAGGCTTCAAAACGACGGTTCAGAGCATAAGTCCAGCCTTCATCAGCAACATCATTGGGGTCTAGATCGAAGGAGTTGTGGCGAAGGGGGAAACGATCAGAGCCAGACAAAGCCGTGAACAGTTCACGAAGAACGGAAAGCTTCGCCTGAGCTAAGACAACTGGCGGTATGTCTTCAGCAAATGTGAATGACATTGCTAGCGGAGAATGCTGTGATGTGGGTGGTGTAGCTATCGTCACCCCTTCTGTACTTATACGAAAGCAAGGGCTAGCTAGCGGACGTGCTGGTGCTGACCACGTTCC